TTGTTAACAAACACTAGTAATATTAATAGTAATCGTTAACACAATATTAATATTAATACTAATAGTAATCGTTAACAAATGTTAGTAATAGTAATCGTGAGAGTAATCGTTAATAAACACTAGTAATAGGACTAGTCAGTGCGGCACTAACGTGCATGTCTGCTGGATTTAATAGCTCTCTGCGCTGTTCAGTGACGAGGACAAGCTCTGACTTTGTGCAAGTGATGAATTGCCTGTGCAATGTACACCCGTGAAGCAACATCTTCAGCAGCCCAGTGCTTGGCATTATGGTGTTGGGTACCATAAATTACAACTCCCGATTGGCTTTGCTGTTTACAGAAAGAACATTGAACAAAAACATCTACATCCATATTATTGGTTACCCCTTTCTCTCGCCATTCCAGCAAAGAGGAAGGCTATATGATGTTACAACAGGATAATACCTGCATAATTGTTTTACTAATGTTCACCCAATATAAAGCCTAAGAGCCACTCAAGGTAGAGGCTTACAGTATGGAGTTGGATCAGCGTAAGGAAGAGCAAAATAACAGGAAAGATTACTAATTATAGATTTGATGAGGTCAAGATTTAATTAGCGAATAAAATTTCAAAGTTCAGGCGGAAACATTATAGAGTATAGAGTTTAGAAGGAGCTGGAAACCATGTCCTGTTCAAAAGATTGGGGAGAAGTCTGAACCGGACATCCGTATACTCTACTTAACAAATTCGCTGCCTAGTATGATTGCTGAGGCACTCCCTCAATCCACACACACAGTGTACATTTTAAAGAGAAAAGAGAAGCCGCAAAAGTTTGTGGATTTTTGAAATACATATTATATTTTATTGTCCATATTTTTGCTACACTGGTTTCGGATCTTGTGACTTTCATCAGGTGAAGAATGGTGTTTTCCACATATTATATAAAGGAATTCATTCTTTCCTACTGTTTTCTTATGATTAACCATTTTTTGTGGTAGTAATCAAAATTCTTTTTGGATTATGGGAAAATCTTCCTTTGCTTCACAGAGAAATAACAATTCTTTGCCTGATGAAGGTCACAAGACTCAACACAGGTGTAGCAAAAAATATGAACAATAAAGTATAATATATATTAAAAAATCCACATTATAATAAAAAACGCCTGCGATTTCTCTTCTTCTCTTTACTACATATATATATATATATATATATATATATATATATATATATATATATATATATATACAATTATATGATTAATGTGTATACGGAATGAATTCCAATAACCAACAATTACTATTCTTAAAAGAGTGCTAAATGCAGAGTAGAGCGAATATAATTATTTATTTAAAAAATTATAACATAAATATGTTATAAAATCACTACAAAAATAGCCATTTTGTTTCAACACCTCTGGTGTCTTATCAAGATGATGTTGAATGTAGATTGTAGAATCTCAATATATATATATATATATATATATATATATATATATAAATATATATGATTAAGCCACACATGGCTTGTAACATTTTAGCCTACCAATATATGTTATTGCATCAACATGTTTAAAGAGGTTTTGAATAATGTATCGCATGGTTCTATTCACTATTTGTGCTATCCAAATCATATGGCATTACAGGTCCGTGTTAAAGTTAAGTATGATATGTATTAAATATATGTATTAAATATGATATGTATTAAATATGTATTAAATGTATGATATGTATTAAATATATGTATTAAATATGGAGTCTGTGCGTTATTATTACATTCTTTATTTTGGAATACGTACACGTATTAATCTGTATATATAAAAATTACTGTAATCCAGCTATAGGTTTAATTCCATTTAAGTTGAAATATATTCAGGGTGTTGCCATTTTACCCAGCAGTTTATCTGTCACGGAACGAAAAAGTTTTGGTGTAATGTCTACAAATTTTTTTCCGCTTACCTTATCTGTTTCATTAGACATCGGGAAGTGTTCCGGCCTCTCTAGAGGATTTCTGCAGGACGGATTGCTAGGCAGAAAGATTTAGTTAATTAATTCACTTCCACCACCGATGCGCCGGAAAACAAAATGCCTTTTGATTAATTGTATTAAGCATACACCGTCAATAAGCACCTAATTAACTATACGTTCTTTTTATTCATTTATACCATTGTTACCCAAATTTGTTCAATCTGAATTCATCTTTCATAGCAAGAAACACTTCGGTATTAGTGCAAAAATAATCTTAATATTGTTTTCAATTCTATTTTAAATGAAATGATTAAAATGCTAAAAAAGCCCTTATATTTGATAGCTTACCTCAATGTTTCTATGCGATGGTTGACTTTGGTGTTTACTGGATAAGGATCTTACTCTAGTTTCATTTGATAGCCTATCACAATGTTTTTAATGCGATAGTACATAACTATGCTAGGCCAGTGTTTCCCAACCTTTTTAAAACCAGTGCCCTCCCCCGCTGTCAAATTAAATTCCAAATATTATCCTGAATTCATCTTTTATAGCAAGAAACACTTAGATATTAGTGCAAAAATAATTTTAATATTGTTTTCATTTCTATTATAAATGACAATGATTACAATCCTAAAAAAAACTTTTATTTGATAGCTTATCTCAATATTTCAGTGCGATGGTTGACTTTCGATAATTCTAGGTTCTATGCTGCATAGAAATAATCGTAGATCTCCACGTTTTTGTAATTTGAAGGCGATTTCTTTGTTTAGTAAGAATTTGCGTTGAAACCACATTGAACCATATAAGAAGTTAGAAAAGCAACGAAGAAACGTTTGATAGCTTAACCGAGCTTTACATACCTTTCAGAAATTTCCTTTCATAGCCAATATTGAATAATTTTTGAAAATTTGAAATAAAAAAAAGGTTAAATGTCCACCGACGCCATGAGTATATACACCTCCCTATAAACACAATAATACTTTCAGCATAACGGGGCCCACAATTAGCGCTAACTTTGGGAAACACTGACTTATACGGCCATAAGTTGGTTCAGTCTCTATTATGTTTTTCTAATGTCTTGGTTCAACGTCTTTTATCATTTTCTAATCTTTTCATTCAGCATCTTTTTTCTTAATGAACCGTTTAAACCTCTTAAATATCACTAAATATTGGTTCAGACACTTCTATATTTTTCTAATGACTTTTGTTCAGTGGCTTTTATATATTTTCAAGATTAAAATCGGCGCCTTTATATATGTTTCTAAGGTGTCACGTTTATATCAATCCAATACAGAATGTTGTGAATACATTATTTCCCCATGTATAATGCGCATTCATCCATAATACGCACCTCTAAAATTGTGCTGAAAATGTGGGAAAATGCTTCTACATGCACATAATACGTTCTCTTTGTTTGGTAATCGAACCCGATAAATTGTAACTCTCCAATTTCATTACGGCCAGTGTTTCCTACTCTTATTGCCGTTGTACGCTCCGGCCTTCTTCAGGTGGTTGGAATGTCAAATTGAACCCTTTATTTCGCTCACTGGGTTAGACTGTTCTAGTTCCACGTAGCATGTTTAATGAATGTCAGTTATCAGTTCTCTCCTGTTAATTGCCCTTTCCAAGTCTCCACCACCTTAACCGGGTATTGAACTCACACTCTTTGGGTCCTGTCACTGAATCTAGCTAAGGCCTTTATCCACAGTGCCATTTGTCCTCAAGGACACATGGCACAGTGAAGAAGGCCGGAGCGTACAACAGCCGAAACGTTGTAATAAATATGGTGACAAAGATGAAGACAGTAGTCCGAATAATGTAAATAGTGTACATAATACCTCATCTCAGAAATATAGACAAATATTTTTCTAATTTTGTTTTATGATAATTCTTATTTTATTTTGCATTTGTAAGTATTGTTAGGTACATATGATTGTATTTGATATCCTTATAGGGTCGCAATCGTCGAAAATGTCGTATGTTTGTGGTTAGTAGTCATTTCGCAACTGAAACCGACCTATGAAACAGCCATTTTTTAAAAGATTTTTTTGTAGCTGTGCATAATACGCACCCTTAATTTTCTTATTATTTTTTTAGAAATAATGCGTATTATACATGGAGATTACGGTACATTTTTTAATGCTTTTACTTGCTGATTACTTTAAAGAAAGATGGCTGTCAAGTTAAACATGTTCCGTGTATGTCGTTTGGGTTCATAAATAGTACATTAGAATTACTATCTATTTTGTTTCCGATGGTAAAAAAAAATGTTATAATTCGGTTGAAAATGTTGAAAGTTTTGCATTTGCGGGATGAATTCGTTATGAAACTGAGAACGAAAATAGACATTTTCTAGTTTTTAACTTGAGAGCGAATAAAATTGGCTAAGAGAAAGAATCCATTTTGTACATGTTTTTTTTCTGTGTACGTATGGACTTTACTTTCACACTAATATATCTTAGAATGTATCTATGTATTCTTATTGAACATATATTAGTCGGGTATGAGCACAATGATACATGGATCTAGCGTAGTAACATAATAGATAAATTGAAGTCATACATACATACCAACATAAAGAGAGATAGATAGATAGAGACACACATGCATATATATATATATATATATATATATATATATATATATATGATGCTGTGTGGGATCGATTAGTAAATTGAAGCTAAAATAGATTGACTTGATTAATTAAATGGAAGACGAACAGTATAATGTAGTTTAATCAATGAGAGATAAGACAGCAGGAGACAGAAACGGATTGACTTAGAAAGATCTCAATGATTTCGAAGAAAACAAAGAAGAAAACAAAAGCAAATGAGATAGAGAAAGGTTATAGTGAAGAAAGCCAGAATGATGAAAGAGGAAGGAATAATGAGAGGAATGAAGAAACAAGACAGACAACTAGGAAAAAAAAAGAAAGGAAACGTAAAAAAGGAAAAAAATAATAAGAAGCGACATTTAATTTTGAAAAAGAAACACGAAAAAATAAAATGATTAAGGAAAAAAAAAAAAAAAACAGAAAGAGGCTTTTACGTGATATTTTCGACCATATTAGGTTGAAACACCGGTTCACGTCTGATCATCAAAATTAAGTAATGTTGAGCCTAGTCAATACTCAGATGGGTGACCCCTTAGAAATATCAGACGCTGTAAGCTTGTATGTGATGAATAACGGCTCAAAATGAGACTTTGAACAGCCGAGTTCGAATTCCAGTCGAGTTCGTCACACTCACATAAGTGCAAATGCACTTGAATGAATCCATCTCTTCTCTCCCCAGCTGTGGGTTAAATAACAGGACTGGATCCTATAGGCTTGATTGGCAGAAAGTAAAGGAAGCTTCCAGCGGGAATTCTTCTGAACTATGAATGGAAAGGAGACATGATTGTTCAAGTAGGGAATTCTTTTCAGGATTTAGGCTATTATGTGTTTCCATAACTTCCTGCTATTTGTGGTTATAAATAACATAATTCCACATGTTTAATACACCTTCATCCATAATAAGCATTCCTAAAATTGTGCTGAAAGTGTGGGAAAATGATTCTACTTACGCATAATATGCACCCCTTGTTTGGTAATCAAACCCTATAAATTGTACCTCTCCAATTTCATTATGGCCAGCGTTTCTTACTCTTATTAAAAATGGTTTAAACATAGAATAATATTTTTCTAATTTAGTTTTGTGATAATTTTTATTTTATTTTACAGCAATTTTTTAAAGATTTTTTTGTAGCTATGCATAATACGTACACCTGATTTTGCTTATTATTTGCGTATTATACATTAAGAATCACAGATACATATGTGTGTGTGTGTGTGTGTGTGTAGTTATATGCCGTAATTCCCCATGTATAATACGTCTTCATCCATAATATGCACACCTAAAATTGTTCAGAAAGTGTGGGAAAATGTTTCTACTCATGCATATGCAACCCTTGTTTGGTAATCAAACCCTATAAATTGTACCTCTCCAATTTCATTATGGCCAGCATTTCATCGTCTTATTTAAAAGAATCGTTTTAAACAGAATACTTTTATTCTAATTTAGTTTTATGATAATTCTTATTTTATTTTATATTTGTAAGTATTGTTAGGTACATATGATTGTATTTGACATCCTTATGCGGTCGCAATCGCCGAATGTTAGTGTCAAATTGTTGTATGTTTGTGGTAGTCATTTCGCAACTGAAATTGACCTATGAAACGGCAATTTTTTAAAAGATTTTTTTGTAGATGTGCATAATACACACCCCTAATTTTGCTTATTATTTTTTATGAAAAAATGCGTATTATACAAGGTGAATTATGGTAATTTTTGAAGCATAAAAAAATGGATAATAAAATGGCAATGAGAAATTCGAGTGTAAAAAGAAAAGAAAAGTTTAAAAAAAGAAGAAAATAAACGGATTATGAATAGAATGGAGAAGAAAAGAAAGAAATCACAAAAGAATTTTATGTTTTCCTTGGTAGCAATCCGACTGATGTGAATAGGAATAAAACTCGGACTAATAACTTCAGGTGCATCGAAAGGGCGGTTCTTTGCTTTCCAAACAAATTTTCCATCTGATTATAACGCGGGATGATTAGCGCAGCAACTGTGCCGGTCTCCGATGATAAACAACACGGGTATTCGAATGTTGAAATGCGAGGAGGCGAGCGAAATGTTTACAATTGGCCAACTATTTGACAGACTGACACTTAAAACATTTGACTAACGCATTCCATTTCTTTTCTTACCGTAAAGAAGTTATTCTTCATGTCTAATTGCTTTAGTTGCCGTCCCTTTTGGTAAATCAGGGATTCCTTTTTAGTTGAAATCTCTAGTTTTATCATAGATATATCTAGTAAATCTAATTACGTTGGTCTGTTTATTCGTACACACACACACACACACACACACACACACACACACACACATACATATATATATATATATATATATATATATATATATATATATATATATATATATATATATATATTCGATTCGACTATCCCGTCAAATTCGACGTATGAGGGTCAAGCAGATGAGTTCCTAGGAACCAACAGCCCGACAACAGCACATGAGATTTGATTATAGTGGTGAAGATTTTTTTGCAGAACCATCCACACTTTTTGAAGGGCCGAATACAGAGACCCGGTGCACTAAGTGCCACAAGGTTCCCAAACGAGTCTGATTCTCTACCTCTTAGTCACCGAGGCCCGTTGGAAGAATTGGTATGACGTTTGCCTGATAACGTAAATGTCCGGGTTTCAATTCTTGGTAATGGATGCGATCTGTTGATGAGTCCCAAATATAAGACGAAACGGCCGCCCAGTATATTCTGCATTTTGTTGAGGTTTCTTCTAGACTCGATGAATTACTTAATTATCTAATAATAATAATAATAATAATCTTATAAATATAAGTAATTATACTCGTCTGAAAATTTTTTAGGTGTTTTGGCTTGTAAATGAACCAACCAATATCCAAGGAAAAATAAGGAATAAAAAAAGAAAGAACCAAGAACATGTAATTCAGGCGAAAAGAATCGACTAGAATCCAAGCTTAGAGTCCAAAGAAAAAAACCTCCAGCACGGGTAAAGCAAAAATAACTAAGCAAATTGCTCAATACACTAAGTAGAGCAAATTTAAGTATGAACATAAAGAGCCAAGGAAATCTACCTGAGTTTCACCTACGCGGATCGTCAGGTATACTTAGATATTATATATATATATATATATATATATATATATATATATATATATATATATATATATATGAATAAAAAAGAAAAGAACAGTAAGATATATAATCCGGTGTTCTTAGATATTTTTATTTTTACAAAATAGTGCTCAATGTAAATTTACAGAGCATTAATATTATAAATTAATTGATTTAAAATTTTTTTTCGCTACACAGTTCTAACCATGTTTCAAAAATGGAAGCTAAATGCCCCGAATTTAAGTTTGTAATTAAATTAAAGACATTAGTTCCATTTCATCCTCAAGTGAATTTTGGAATAACTTTTAAAATTACTGGATTTTAAAGACACAGCTAAAATCATAATTCATGTTTCCAAGGTTACAGATGAATCCAATTTACCAGACAAGGGTTGTCTCGGTGTCTATATTTTAATATATCAGTTATTGCTATGTTTTGGTAGTGGGTAGGGATGTATTTTTCAATAAAATCTAACATCCGTTAAAAGCGTGTCGTCTGAATTTAAAAAAAAAAATATTGTTAACGGCTAAAATTCTTACGGCATTTTTTTCCTCGTATATTTAAAGATTTTTGGGGGTGTTTAGGTAAGAATACTTTTTATTTAACTACAATTTGAAATATTTTTACTTTTAATTTTTAATATACTATATTTCTTTCAGGAACAATTAAATGTAATTAGAATCCCTTACAGTTTGTAGAATTATTATCACATCAAGTATATTACAAATTTAAAAAAAAATTATATTTAAATATTATTTAAGTAAAATTTTCATTTCTCTGATTTAGTAAACTTTATTTATTTATTTAATTACAATTTAAAAAGTTTAGGTTAGAATTCATTTTAATGAACTACAATTTTAATTATAACTTTAAAATATTTTCATTATTAGTTTTTATAGACTACATATTTCATTTAATAGAAGTAAATCTATTAGAATTACTTACATTTAGTAAAATTATTTTCTATATCAATATATATATATAGCATAATATAATTAAATCTCTGTTGTGTTATCAGTGACCAAAGATAAATTACAAACACTGTATTATATATATATATATATATATATATATATGTGTGTGTGTGTGTGTGTGTGTGTGTGTGTGTGTGTGAGTTTATATATATATATATATAATTATTTACTTAAAAATATGATTCCAAAACGCTACATAAAAGTCTCATGTTTCAAAACAAGAGCCGAAAACTTCAATATAATTATTTAAATTAAATTGAGTTAAAATAAGGTCTGTCCATCTTCAAGCGAAATTATTTTAACTCGATTTAATTTAAATAATTATATTGAAGTTTTCGGCTATTGTTTTGAACATGAGACTTCTTATGTAGCCTTTTGGAATCATATTTTTAAATAAATAATTATATTTATGCTCTACTTTTTTTATCGAGCACTATTTTTTTAAAAATAATAACTAAAATACTAAAGGACTTTGGATTATTTACCTAACCAGTTCCTTCCTATTTTCTATATATTTTCTCATATATATATATATATATATATATATATATATATATATATATATATATATATATATATATGTAAGCAAATATTAGTGTTTGTGCCTTTTATATTATATTATATTATATATATATATATATATATATATATATATATATATATATATATATATATGTGTCATAATAAAATTAAATCTCTCTGTTGTGTTATCAATGACCAAAGAAAAAATTACAAACACTGTATTATATATATATATATATATATATATATATATATATATATATATTTTATAAATGTGTGTGTAAATTTATATGATCATATATATATATATATATATATATATATATATATATATATATATATTGCATAAACTTACATATATACATACATTAAAGGAAATATGTCATGTATTACACACACACACAATAATATATATGTATATTTATATATATGATAAAAATATAGTTTTAACGTGTTCTATATTTCTTGGTAAAAGTAAACAATATAAAAGTTTACGCTGCCTGACCTGAATATTGCTTTCTAGTATGAAACAAGCTGTTACCGCTTGATGTTGACTTCAGTTTAAAGTATGCATTCATGTGATTACTATCCATAATTGAATAAAGTACAATGACAAGGATGATATTATGTTGAAAAATAAATTCTTCCTCTCCTACCTCCTGCTTTTTGCTGTCCTTTTTTTTTGTTGCTAAAGCTGTCCAAACATTATAAGTGAAAAAATATTTTATGATTAATCTACCGGACAAATCTATAGAAATAATGTTTGTTATCCGCACATTCAAATTTGACAGGGTTAAATTGTAACACATTTGTATTAATAAAGATTATAATATACATAAAGTAATCAATATATTGTAACCTCGGGAAGGTTACTGAATAGAATAATCACACGAAGGTTGGTCATGAACGATACTACTAAAGACAAAAACAACACATGTAAGATTCACCAGCGGCG